TGGTCAATTCTTGGAATCGCCTCGATTCTCGGAAATTTGGTCATTTCCGAGAAATGACGAAAATTCCAGGAATTCTCGGGAACCGAAATTTGTCGAGGGCCCATTGGTCAATTCTTGGAATCGCGTCGATTCTTGGAAATTTGGTCATTTCCGAGAAATGACGAAAATTCCAGGAATTCTCGAGGACTGAAATTTTCGAAGGCCCACTGGTCAATTCTTGGAATCGCCTCGATTCTCGGAAATTTGGTCATTTCCGAGAAATGACGAAAATTCCAGGAATTCTCGAGGACTGAAATTTTCGAAGGCCCACTGGTCAATTCTTGGAATCGCCTCGATTCTCGGAAATTTGGTCATTTCCGAGAAATGACGATAATTCCAGGAATTCTCGAGTACTGAAATTTTCGAAGGCCCACTGGTCAATTCTTGGAATCGCCTCGATTCTCGGAAATTTGGTCATTTCCCGGAAATGACGAAAATTCCAGGAATTCTCGAGAACTGAAATTTTCGAAGACCCTTTGGCCGAAAATCGACTTTCTAATAGGCGAACATGATATGATAGGAGGTCGATTCTTGGAAGTGACTCGATTCTTGGAAATTTGGTCATTTCCGAGAAGTGACGTAAATTCCAGGAATTCTCGAGGACTTCCGCACCGAACGAGTATATTCGCGCGATTTTCGGAAACTTTCTCTAATTTTCGTAGTTTTCGCTCGAATTTCGGGATTTTTTCGATTTTTGCGATGAAAACGCATTCCCGGTGGTTTCTGCCATTAATTTATTCAATTTTGCAATGGAATATTGTTTAAACAATGGGTTTATTGCAAAAACAAATGGATTTGGAGTGTAAGGGAGCAAGAAATCGACTGTAAAATGCTGTAAAACAATACTGGTATATCGTAACCTTTAGTAATATACATTTCGTACAATAATTTTACAATAAATAATTGGTTTTTTCATAAACAATGGGTTTTTTACAAAGGAAATGAATTTGGTGCGAAAGGGAGAAGTAAATAGACTGTAAAATGCTGTAAAACAATACTGGTATATTGTAACCTTTTGTAATGTTCATTTTGTACAATAATTTTACAATAAATAACTGATTTATTCATAAATGATTGCATTTCTTCAGTTTCCCTGGTGTTTAAGTCCTTTCCTTGAGAACTAGTGTGTCCTGGATGGTCTATCTGTAATTTATACACAAAGAACCTTAATTTTTCTAATTTTTAATAATATTTATAAACAATTTCTGACTAACCTATCGAATGCAATGGTTAATTCAGAGCAGAATTAATATATTCAGCTGTTTTATTAAGTTGAAGCGTACGATAATAGTATTTAAGGCTTGCAATAATTATAAACAATCGTGTAAATTGTTATTTGACAGGAAATACTTATTATTCTATAGTCAAAGTACTTAAAAATGTAGTAGAAATTTGATTTTATTAGTATTTGTTAGAATTAGTACTGTTTCTTGTTAAATAACAATTCAGGTCGTAAGTTACAATTATTCGATGTATTAAATAAATTTGTTTCATGATTTAACTTAATAGAACAGCTTAATTTCAACATCTTCTAATCACGCATATTTTAATTGGAAGAGTTTCATTTGGGGGTTGTAACAAAAACCAGGACGATTGTTCTACTCATTGTCAATCTGCCGTCACCGTTCGAAGCAGAAGGATCGAGTGAATCATCCAGAGCATCATGAGAAATGAAATATTATCGGGTTAGTTGATTATTAAAATCGAAATTCTTTGAACTTTGTGCTGTTAATAACAGTTACCTTAAATTAGAATATCATTGCATTAACTCACAGGAAATCTCGGAAATTTTAAAACTTTCTGGATTTTCTTAGATTTCCTGCGAGTCAACCATAAGTCAAAGATCGAAATTTCTTAGTAGTAAAGTCAACCATATCTCCGAAAACAAGTGTCGATGTCTGACTTATGGTTGACTCCCTGATTTTCGTCTAATTTTCGAAATTTCTCAACTATCCTGCGAGTCAATCATAAGTCAAACATCGAAATTTGCCTAGTAGTAAAGTCAGCCATATCTCAGGCGCTCGAAATTTGTTCGCGTGAGTAGTGCAAGTCAACCACTTCTCAGGCGCTCGAAAATTTGTCAAAGTAAGTAAGCAGTGCGAGTCGACCATTTCTCGGACGTTCGAAAATTTTTCGGAACAAATAAGTAGTGCAACTCAGCTGCTTCTCAGACGCTCGGA